CCAGCACCGGGCAGGTGTCAAATTCTATACATCGTGTTGCCACTTGGCAGAGCCCTGTGTTTTTAATAAACAGTCGCTACAGCCCTGCTGTTATGTACCACTTTTGTCTATTTTAGCCAAAAGAAAACTACTCCTCCTCCCGAAGTTACAGAGTCATTTTGCCGAGTTCCTTCAACATAGCTATCTCAAGCGCCTTAGTATACTCCTTTTTTTTTCCTTTTTTCTTTTTTCGCCTTAGTATACTCTACTTGTTCACCTGTGTCGGTTTGGGGTACGGTTCAATCAGTCCCCTCCCCCCCGCGCCCAACGCAATGAGAATCAGAGAGCGAGAGGGAGCGGGAATAACACAAGCCAGTCAGCGGAGAGTACTCGAGCAAGGGGCTGGGCTACCGGTAGGGACGTATACTCTACTTGTTCACCTGTGTCGGTCCCCCCCTCCCCGCCCCACGCAATGAGAATCAGAGAGCGACAGGGAGCGAGAATAACACAAGCCACTCAGCGGAGATTACCCGAGCAAGGGGCTGGGCTAGGGACGTAATACAGTAAGACAGGAGATAGCCAAGACGTAAAAACTAGCACAAAGGACATAACGGCCCAAGAGCCCCCACCCTGGCCTTCATTATACCGAATCGTCGCCCATAATGTATAAATGATAGCCGGCAAGAGCGAAGGATTCCCGAGATAGACCTGATGATCACGAGGGAAAATCCCCAGCCATCGCAAAACAGAAGACGGCACTCGAATTCCTAAAATAGAACTGTGGGTACATATCACATAATCCCGCCTGTGGAAAACAAGCCTCCTGCTATGTGAGAATAAAACTGAGTTGTACATATAAGCCCGCCTGTGTAAAACAATCCTCTTGCTATATGAGAGCTGTGGAACAATACAGAACGGACATTTGATGACTCGACAGTCGGGATACACAGGCTCTTCAAAGACTTCAAAATACGGGGGAACGGAAAGTCTGCAACAGGAGTACAACAGGAGCAACACGCAGCGATGGGATTCTTTCTTTCCCCAGCTTCTTTCCATACTGACAAGCAAGGAAGGGATCTAACAACCCTATGCGACGTTGTCCTGTGTGACTTTGTTCCTTCCTCAATTATCCTGTTTGCACCCCCTGCCGGCGAAAGATCGTCCGATCCCCTTCCCTTGTATACCTCCCTCCCCCGTCTCCCCCCCCAACCATTGCCTTTCTCCCCTCCGCCCTTCCCACCCATCTCCCTCCCACCTCACCGCCTCGCTCCCTGTCTTGCTCCGTCCCCCCTCACCCCCTCCTCTCTTCATTACCCCTTCCCTCTTTCCTTCCTCTTTTTTCTGCTGGCGTAAGACCACCTTCCTTTCTTTCGTCATAGCGCACCTAAGGAACGGGCTCCCCCCTCTTCACTGCCAATTTGCTGGAAACAGAACTCTCCGGCTGACTGCTCATGCGCTCCACAGTGCCAAAAGCAAGGCTACCCCGAACAGACCGCACCCTCAAGAGGAATGCACATGACCGGAAAAATAGCTTGCATACATTCATGATCAGGGTGCGTTGTGTTCAGGGGGGAAGACGGTAGACTTGTCAAACCCAAGGTTAGGGGAAAGGAGGGGAGGGGAGAGGGGGGGGGGGGGTCTAATCGATGGAGCGAGACGGCGCTAACGTGAACGAGCGCTGGGCAGGTGTGGAGCTCACGTCTCACGTCGTGGGCAGACCGCACATATCGCTACAGGTCGCACACATTGCTAGATCACACAGGTTGTGCGACACAGCAGCAATCATCGTCGATAGATCGTAGACAAACCGTAAAAGACTATGCTCCACTACTCTCCACATGCACAAACGACAAAAATAATGGCGGTGTATCTTTCCATGTTCTAGCTGAAGATTCACTCCCATTTTGAACATTTACAGAGCAGTGGAGCGACGTAGCATATACCTCCATTACAGTCCACGACCGATCGGTGGGGAAAGTCGATGAAAGCCGCGGAAGAAAGACGCAGAAACAAAACTGCAAATTTGAGCAACAATCACAAAAGAAAAAAGAAAAAAAAAACAACGGAGAAAGACGCAGCAGTGAGGAGAATGACGCAGGCACAACCAACATGGTCCAAAAAAAAAAAAAAAGATACGAGGTACAAATCTCCACCGGACTTCACGGACATCTTTCAGCAAAATAGACAGAGTCACAAGCTAATCAAAACTGGGTAGGGGGCGGAGAGGAGAGACATGCAGGCAGGGGGAAGGCGACGACAACGTCTAGGAAAGCAAGTGGAAGGAGTAGAGTACCAAATCGACGAGCGAGCAAGACGGACGAGTGGGAGAAGGGTTGTGACAAACTGGGCTGAGTGGACAGGAGAGAGAGAGAGGAGATACACGAGCCACGAAGAGCAAAAAAAGAGGGCGGGTGAACGGATAAGAGGCAACAACGCACGCAGCCCAGAGAATGACTGCAACCCCGCAGAATATTAGCTACAATTTACCAAGATAAAAGTACAACTCAAATCCTGTTGATTTCTAGAGTGCAACTCAAATCCTGTTGATTTCTAGAGTGCAACTTTAGAAATCCTGTTGATTTCTAGAGTGCCACT